GCAGCTCCGAGAGTGGTACGCTAGGCGCTGCAGTCTCCGGAGTGGCGCTCCCGGTGTCGTGGACTCTGGAGCTTCTGGAGTTACTGGAGGTGCTGCTGCTGCTGGCGGTGCGGCTGGCGCTGCTGGAGGTGCTGCTGGTGCTGCTGGAGCTGCTGGAGGTACTGATGCTGCTGGAGGTACTGCTGGCGCTGCTGGAGGTACTACTGGTTCTGGTGCTGCTGGAGCTGCTGGAGGTGCTGCTGCTGCTGGCGGTGCGGCTGGCGCTGCTGGAGGTGCTGCTGGTGCTGCTGGCGCTGCTGGAGGTGCTACTGGTGCTGGAGCTACTGGAGCTGCTGGTGGTACTGCTGCTGCTGGCGGTGCTGCTGGCGCTGCTGGAGGTGCTGCTGGTACTGGTGCTGCTGGAGCTGCTGGAGGTGCTGCTGCTGCTGGTGGTGCTGCTGGCACTGCTGGAGGTGCTGCTGGTACTGGAGCTGCTGGGGACCCTGCTGCTGCTGGCGGTGCTGCTGGAGCTGCTGGGACTGGCCCTGCTGAGGGGGTTGGAGCTGGAGGTGCTGAGCGGCCACGGCCGTACTACGTTCCGCTCCTTCAGCAGGTTCTTGGCCTTCCGCCCTCTCCTGGTCCTACTCCTCCCCTACTGAGTCCACCGCTTGTCCAGTCGCAGTCACAGTTACAGCCAGTCTCTCCACTTCCTGGTCCTTCTCCCTACACTGCGCCGACGGGAGGTCTTACGGAGCGTCGTGAGCCTGAGTCTCGTCCTCCGTCGCCTGAGACTCGTCCAGAGTCGTCTGAGTCGCGTCCAGAGTCGCCTGTCCGCGCTGTCCGCGCTGGTCGTCGTGTTCCACGTCAGCGTCCTCCTCCTGTCCTTGGCACTCACTATATGACCCTGCGTCCCTCTACTGCTCCACAGCGTGTCCCACTGCCGTCTCCACCAGCGTCCTCTCTTCCTGCTCTTGCTGACCCGGAGTCTGACTCTCTTCGTGCTGCCAGTCCTACTGTCACGCGTCTCCTTGCCACTGCTGTCACTGACCCTTCCTTTGAGTCCTCTGCTGCGTCTGCTCTAGTCGCTGAGCTTGTTGACTTTGCTGCTGCCTGTCGTCTAGACTACGCCGCTAGCCTTGTTGCTGAGTCTGAGTCTAAGTCTGTCTGTCCTCCGTCTGTCGGGGGTGAGTGTGCTCTTGGCACGGACGTCCTTGAGGACAGACAGGAGGAGTTTGAGTGCTTTGCCGCTGCTTTGCCTCATCTCGTGTCCATGCTAGTTGCCCCTGAGGGAGACCCGGATGCACCAGACATCCCGACCCCACGCTCCTACGCAGAGGCGATGGAGGGTCCCTACTCCTCTCAGTGGCAGACAGCCATGGACGCAGAGATGGCTTCCTGGAAGTCCACAGGCACCTACGTCGACGAGGTTCCCCCACCTGGGGTGAACATCGTCAGTGGCATGTGGATTTTCAGGGTGAAGCGGCCGCCGGGTTCTCCGCCTGTCTTCAAGGCGCGTTACGTTGCACGAGGCTTCAGTCAGCGAGAGGGAGTTGACTTCTTCCAGACCTTCTCCCCGACCCCGAAGATGACCACTCTTCGGGTTCTGCTGCACGTCGCTGCTCAGCGTGACTACGAGCTCCACTCTCTTGACTTCAGCACTGCGTTCTTACAGGGCAGCCTGCACGAGGAGATCTGGCTGCGCCGCCCACCTGGCTTCACTGGGTCGTTCCCTCCTGGTACCCAGTGGAGCCTCCGGCGGCCAGTCTACGGTCTCCGCCAGGCACCCCCGTGAGTGGCACGACACACCGAGGACTACTCTTGCTGCTCTTGGGTTTGCTCCTTCTACTGCTGACCCGTCGCTGTTTCTACGCACCGACACCACTCTGCCGCCGTTCTACGTTCTTGTTTACGTAGACGACTTGGTCTTTGCTACTGCTGACACTGAGGCACTCGCCCACGTGAAGTCGGAGCTGCAGAAGAGACACACGTGCACAGACCTGGGTGAGCTGACAAGCTATCTTGGCTTGCGGATCACCCGGGACAGAGCACAGCGCACCATCACCTTGACTCAGTCACACATGGTGCAGCAGGTCCTTCAGCGCTTCCGCTTCACGTACTCCTCGCCTCAGCCCACTCCTCTACCTACCGGTCACTCGTTCTCAGCTCTGCCTTCGGATGAGTCCGTAGAGCCGAGTGGCCCGTATCCAGAGCTTGTGGGCTGCCTCATGTACCTGATGACCTGCACTCGACCTGACCTGGCATACCCTCTTAGCATCCTAGCACGCTATGTCGCTCCCGGCCGTCACCGGAAGGAGCACATGGATGCCGCTAAGAGGGTGTTGCGCTACTTGTGCAGTACTTCGGGCATGGGGCTCGTGCTTGGAGGTCGGAGCGACGTTGTCCTCACGGGTCACTCAGACGCTTCTTGGGCTGACGACCAGGCTACGCAGCGGTCGTCTCAGGGTTACACCTTCAGCCTTGGCTCTGGTTCAGTTTCTTGGCGTTCTACTCGCTCTTCTTCTGTTCTCAGCTCCAGTTGTGAGGCTGAGATCTACGCCACAGCCATGGCTGCACAGGAGTTACGCTGGCTCACCTACCTGCTGACCGACCTGGGAGAGCGGCCTCGTTCTCCTCCAGTGCTGTACGTTGACAACAAGGCCGCCATTGCCTTGCGTGAGGAGCACAGACTGGAGCACAGGACGAAGCACATCGCTCTGCGCTACTTCCTTGCTCGAGAGCTGCAGCAGCGTGGTCAGCTTCGTCTGCGTTACGTGGCCACTCGGGCCAACACTGCTGATGTGTTCACCAAGGCGCTTCAGCCTTGTGACCATCAGCGTTTCTGTACTGTTCTAGGCCTTGTGCCCACTCTCCCTCACTTGCTCACTTCTTGACTCTGCTTGTACTGTGATCTCTATATATATATACCTGCATGTTTACTCTTGTTAGGTTGTGATCACTGTACCTCTTGTTATATTATCAAACTGCATGTGAACTGGTCTTGTGACCACTTGCTTGTGCTCGGAATTTGTGTGGTTTCCTTGAGATCCACCCTGAGCTTGCTTTGCTTTGCTTTGACTGGTCTTGTGACCATCTGGTTGTCTCCCACTTAGCCTATGGGGGTGTGTCAAACATTATACATGTTCATATTGTGTAGGCTATAGTGGGTTTAGCCTTAGGGGGTACAACATTGCTAGGGTTTCCTACTTGTATCACCCTGCTGCCTAGTTTCACACATTCTCGTTCAGTTCTACATTCTAACAATTGAATGTCCAATCTTCTGACCTCAATTCAATTTCGTCAGATTCTCCAAACCTCAATTTCAAATGTCCGAACCTCAATTTCTCAATTTCCAAATCGCAATTTTCAATTTCTCAATGTGCGGATCAAGCCGAGCCTCAGACGCATCAGCTCTGATGCGTCTGAGGCTCGGGCTGATGCGCACATTGAGATATTGAGGTTCGGAAATGACAAAATTGAAATCGATAAATTGAGGTTCGGACGAGGTTCCCGAAATCTTCTATTTCCAATTTTCCGAACCACGTCCGAACCTCGAATTTGGCCATGTCAGATCTCGAAATCCAATTTCCTCAAATTTCCAAAATCTTATGGGTTTCTAGGAAGTTAGACCGCAAATTTTTCTAATGGTGCCAACCAATGAGGGTTTAGGAAGAAACAAATTGACGAATGAGGGTGCTCCGCACCAGCTGATGCGCGCATCATGCGACTTCTCGGAGTTGCATGATGCGCGCATCAATGATGCGCCAGATTGCTAGGACGAGAAATTTCTCGTAAATCGGCAACATGTTAAATTTTGGTCGCCGAAAAGGCCGTTCTACAGGCATTCGGTTTTGTTTCGCTTCGGCAGCCATGCGCTTATCGCGAACCTTGATAACCTCTCGGCAGGTTATGACGGAAGTATCTCGGAACCGTGGTAGAATGCATCAATGTACATTGATGCGGGCTGATGCGTCCACAGAACGCAGCCCTTGTGCGCTGGCTGATGCTAGCTCTCGAGGCCGAATTGGCAGCGCACAAGTTGTGCGGACATTTGCCTGGAGATGCAACACCGTGGAACCTTCACCCCGTTAAATTTGTGTGCCCCAAAAGTGGCGTTCTGCAGGCTGAAGCGTTAAATTTGGCGCAAAAAGGTTTGGCAGGACCGCGTTTATCACCAAACATTGATAGGCAGAAGCGCGCTTATCGGGGAAGATTCTGCGGACCCAGTTTCTGGCAATTTAACGCCTGCAGAACAGCGCCCATATCTATCAAAATTCAATTGTTGCTTTGCTTTGCCTGACTGTTTCGCACAGCATTCCAGCAATTCTTTGAATGCTGCCGGCTTAGCTCCTTCAATAGCCGTACTAGCAATCTGGCTGTTTCGTAGGCGTCTTTTGAAGACAGTCGCCGCAGCATACCTGATATCCGCGCGAACAGTGGTAAGGCGACCAGCTATCAGCTAGCCGCGGCGGCACCAAATTCGCTCTCTCCACAGTTCCGAACCCTCCGTTCGCCAGACCGTCCGCTCAACCGCTCGCCGCCATATTACCATGTTTCTCCGCGTAGCCGCCAAGCGACAGACTCACTGCGCGCCGTTGGCGGGAGCCATCATCGCGCCTCAGTTTTCCGCCTTCCTCTCCGCACCTTCCGCTTCAGCCACCTCCTCCTCCGCGGCTTTGCTTGCACCCGCCGTCGCCTGTCGCCCTCCAACCAGCGAAGACCACGCGGCCGTCAGTAACTGGGGGCTCTGCAGTGTAAACGACGGTGCCGGCGCGTTTCCAGTTAAGGTACAGTTATATGGTAGGAGTTATCTTGTTGCTGTTCTATGAATCGTGTCTGGGCTGTGATGTCAATTCGGTTTTATTCGTTAAATTCGAAATATACATAGCAGATTAAAGTTTCCGGGGCATATTTAGAGGGCCGGTTACTCTACAGGTGCTTTTGAGAACGTTGCACGAGTGTTTGATGTTAGATTCTAAAGCACGCGAATCTATAAATACCTTAAAACACTTTCACAACGTAATATGCCTGTCTCACAATCACTTGCTTCCTTCCTCGGCTTTATACCCCTCGGACCCATTTTCCAGGGGCCACGTCAGCCCGCAGGCTGGCGCGGGTTCTCCGCTTCCGCCTCAGCAGCGGCGTCACTCACCGGCAGTCCCGCTGGAGCTCCTAATGCTGCTCCCGCGGCTAGCGAAGGGGACGTGGTGAGTGCAGGAGCAGCGTAACGGCGCGGGCATGGCCTAGCACTAATTCATTCCCCGTTAATCCTAGTTGAATTCGGGATTGCAACAGGCAGCGTGCTTGCATACCCCGGTACTCCCATTCTTACACATACTCAACACACTCGCCCACTCACCCACTCACGCACTCGCGCACCTCCCTTCAACGCACGCGCGTCACTTGTGCGATGGAGCTGATTTCGCCTGTACGCTTTTCTACCCTTGATTGTTTTCCCTCCGCTCCCGGCTCCCGCCTCCCCCATGGTGCCTGGCGGCATGTCATGTCAGCCCCGCGTGAAGCTGCTCATTGGAGGCAAGCTTGTGGACTCTACCTCCGACCACCATGTTCCCGTCATCAACCCGGTACGCCTTGATGGTTTACCCCTGTTCTTGGCTTGATGACGAGCCTGGATAAAGACGTGAAGAAGGCAGCGCGAGTTGACGGTGACGGTGACGGTCTGCTATCAGGCAGGCATCCTGTGCTGCGCATGTGCAGTGACGAGCATCCCCTCTTTTGACCCCTGCAGTGCCCTTCACCACCTCACACTCCCCACCCTCTCCCTCACCACCCACCTTTCCCCAACCTCCGCACCCATGAACCTTACTCGTCATCCCCCCTTTCCTCTCCTCCCCCACTCCCTCCCCACCCCCAGGCGACACAGGAGGTCCTGGCGCATCTGCCGTTGGCGACGCGCGCGGAGTTCAGTGCAGCAGTGCGTGCAGCTGCGGACGCCTTCCCCGCGTGGCGCGCCACCCCGCTGCCTGTGCGCGCGCGCGTCATGCTCAAGCTGCAGGAGCTCATCCGCCGCGAAATGGTGTGCGCAGTGTGGCGGAGTGGGTTGGGCGTAGGGGTGGTGTGGCGGAGTGGGGTGATGGGTTGGGTGTGGGCGTGGTGTAGCGTGGTGTGGCGTGGTGTGGTGTGGTGTGGCGGTTGTAGTTGTAGGGGAGGTGTGGTCGATGGGTCCTCACTCTAGGTTGACGGAGTGGGAGGAGAGACCAGGGAAGGGCTGCAAGGGACAGATGTTGCTCTGTGATTGGCAGTAGTAGGGTGTGTCTCTCGGCTGGCAGCAGCAGCAGCACACACACAATTCGAACGAGAAGGGAAGAGAAGACGTACTTACAGCCCGGGTGGAGTAGAGAAAACGACACCTGAGTCAAATCAAGCCTGAAACCTCTAATCAGAGCCCTCCCGTTGCTTGCCCTCACTCACAGTTCCCTCCCCCTTACCCTCCTTGCTTCCGCATGCTCTGCCATGCCATGCCATGCCATGCCATGCCATGCCATGCCACGTCATGCTATGCACCACATGGTTCCACAGGACCGGTTGGCTCTGAGTGTGACCACGGAGCAGGGCAAGACTCTAGCGGACGCACGAGGGGATGTCTTCCGTGGCCTTGGTGCGTGCCCTCTCTCCTTCTCTTCCTCCCTCCCTCCCTTCTTCACGCCCTTTTTCTTTCCTTCACTCGCTCCTCCTCCCTCTCGCTGGTTGCCGCTCTAAAACTCTGATTTCATTTCTTCCTGCTTTGGTATTCCCTCTATCCCATGGTGCTTTGACCCCTTTGACCCAAATGGGATGAATGTTTGCTCCCATCCACTGCATGTCCATTCGTTTCACTCATCTACACCATCCCGCTCCCTCGCACTCCCTCCCTATCCCTACCCCGTCCTCCCACGAGCAGAGGTGGTGGAGCAGGCGTGTGCGATGGGAACGATGCAGATGGGAGAGCTACTGGAGAACGTGAGTGCGGGCGTGGACACCTACAGCATCAGGCAGCCTCTGGGCGTGTGTGCTGGCATCTGCCCCTTCAACTTCCCCGCCATGATTCCCCTCTGGGTGAGGCCTCATCATTTCTTCTTCCGGGTAACATAAAATGACTGCAATCAGCCTTGTGTTCCTGATGTTGGGTCAAAGGCCTGCCCACGTTTTCCCTTTTTTTTTGTTTTTTTTTTTTGCTAAGTCTCCTCAGACATAACCTCATGTTCTCCTCCCAAGTCAACTCCGCCTGCCTGTTCCGTTACAGATGTTCCCTTTCGCAGTGCCAGCGGGCAACACGTTCATTCTCAAGCCATCGGAGTCTATTTTTGAGGCGCCTCAAAAGTAGGCCCGCCTGTGTGCCCTTTGCTTGCCTGCCTGCCTGCCTTCCTTGTGGCAGATGTTTCCATTTGCAGTGACAGCGGGCAACACGTTCATCCTGAAGCCATCGGAGAAGGACCCGGGTGCTGCCATGATGCTCGCTGAACTCGCCCTGGAGGCTGGCCTGCCCGCTGGCGTGCTTAATGTCGTGCATGGCACGCATGTGAGTGCTGTGTGGTGGTGATGTTGGTGGCACTTAGTGCCATACAATGTTATGACTTAGCTCGTTTAACCCATTGTGATGCTAAGCATTCATCGGTTCGATTGGCAGACTGCTTACTCGACTCACCAATTCCGCTCCTTTTCCTGCTCTTGCCCATCGCTGTGCCATGCCACGCCATGCCACGCCATGCCATGTCATGCCATGTCATTGCATGTCATGTTATGTCCATCATGTGGTGTCATTTCATGTCATGCCATGCCATGCCATGCTATGCTGTCTCAGGACGTTGTGAATTGGATGTGTGACGAGCCTGAGATTCGGGCAATCTCATTCGTTGGATCAGACAAGGTAAAGAATCTCACCACCCTCTCAGCTGATCCAGTGGCATTTACTGCTTACTCGTCTCGCCGTTTGTTTACTCACTGCTTACCTAACCCTCACCACTCACTGCTTACTCATCCCATCCCCATCCCATCCTATCTCATCCCATCCCATTTCACTTGAATTAGACTCCCTACTTGCGTACAACACCACAACATTACGTCTCCCTCTCCCCTTATCCCCTCTTCTCCTCTTCTCTTCGCATTGTCTTCACATCACCTCGGCTACTTTGCATGCACCTCTCGTTTGCCTCATGCCCACCCACGCAGGCAGGACGACACATCTATGCACGAGCAGCATCACATGGGAAGAGAGTGCAGGTGAGTGGTCGACTTGCTACAGCAGGCATGCTCAGGCTATGTTGGCAAATATGTGTTTAGCGTATTATACGTCATCGTATAATACGCAGGAGTTTATACGCAATATGTGACGAGACTATTTCTAGAAACAAGTGAGAATAAGCGGTTTCCAGTATAGAAAATGTCGGGCAGGAAAATAATCATTTTCCACAAGGGAGAAAGCGGGGAAGGCAAGACACATCTCTTCCTTCCAAGTTTGTCTTCCTTTTAAATATCCGCGACAACTCCTACGAGAAGGCAAGGAAGTTGAGGTGAGTTTGGTTAAATGCAAACGATGCGGAAAGGAAGTTTCTCGACAACTATAAACCTGGAGGCGGGTGGAACACGTAAAGAGGAGAGAACATGGAGCTTGGAGAATGAGCTGCGTGAAAAAAAGAGGCTCGACAGGCTGCTGAAGAGGATGAGAGAAGCGAAACATGGAGGATTGGAGGAAACGAACAAGGAGGCTACGGACGTGATTGATGCTCAGGTGTCACATTTGACAGAAGTTGCGAGGCTGAAGAAGGCGGTTGAGGACGTTGAAAGGAATGTGTTGCATTTGCTCGTTTGTTCCAGCGTCTCAACCACCTTCTTTAGCCTCGCAGCTTCTGCTGTCAAATGTGACACCTGAGCGTCAATAACGTCCGCATCCTCCTCGTTCGTTTCCTCCAATCATCCATGTATCGCTTCTATCATCCTTTTCAGCAGCCTGTCGAGCCCCTCTTTGTCCCGCAGCTCATTCTCCAAGCTCCACAACCTTTTTTTTTTCTTTATTTCCTATTTTGTGACGAGATGTTTGACCGCTTACGTTTGTTTGCGCTCCCCCTCCCCCCCCCCCCCCACCCCCCCACCCCCCACCCCCCACCCCCCACACACATCGTATTTCCCAACATAGTGCTCAGGTAGGGGAGGAGAAGATGGGGGCCAATGAACCTGTTTTGTTTCCCGGGCACATTTCCCTTTGTTCTGTATTTTGAAGATCCCATGCACTGTTGTGCTACCAAAATGGCTCATTTCCCCCACCCCCACAACCCCCCTCTCCTCCAGCTCTTCTTCCACAGCTCTCTGTCACCTCTCCTTCACCTCTTCTCCTCCCAGTCGCTTTTGAGAACTCTCAAAAGCGACATTTATCCAGTCAAACACATCCCCTATCTTTCCCTCACCTTTCTTCCCGTTCTCCTCCTTGCCGTCTCACTCTCCCCCTAACTTCTCTCTCCCCGTGCCCTGGATCAGTGCAATATGGGAGCAACGAACCACGCAGTGGTGGTGCCATTGCAAGGCACGGATCCACACATCACTGCTGCTCTTTCACCTTTGTTCACATCCCCGCTCTTGCTCGCTCTCACTCACTCTCCCCTGTTCCGCCACGCATCAGTGCAACATGGGAGCCAAGAACCATGCAGTGGTGTTGCCAGACGCGGACCCACAGGCGGCAGTGAATGCGCTGGTGGGGGCGGCGTTCGGGGCAGCGGGGCAACGTTGCATGGCCATCAGTACAGCCGTGTTTGTTGGGGGCTCGCAGCAGTGGTGAGTGCCTTGAGAGTGGGAGAGAGAGTGTGGGAGGTGAGGCGCCGCAAAGAGCGTCTGGGCAGCGGGGCAGCGTTGCATGGCCATCAGCACAGCCGTGTTTGTTGGGGGCTCGCAGCAGTGGTGAGTGCCTTGAGAGTGGGAGAGAGAGTGTGGGAGGTGAGGCGCCGCAAAGAGCGTCTGGGCAGCGGGGCAGCGCTGCATGGCCATCAGCACAGCCGTGTTTGTTGGGGGCTCGCAGCAGTGGTGAGAGTCGCGAGGAAGAGTGAGAGGAGGGTGAGGGGAGAGTAAGTGAGAGGAGAGACTGTGTGGGAGCAGAAAGTGACTAGCGAGGGATCAACATGAGAAGCTCCTGCGAGGGATCAGTGTCCAGGGGCGGCAAAAATATTGGTGTTACTTATGAGAATTCTCAAAAGTAACGCATGCAAGGGATTAGATCAGTGCCCAGGTGCGTTAAAACCCAGCACCTTCCAACAGTGCCCACCACTCCCCGCGACACCACCTCCCATGTTCCATTCCTACACTCCTTGAGTCCTCTCCTACACTCCCCTCCCCGTCACCCCATCCTCTCCTGCGCTCCCCCGCCCACCAGGGAGCTGCTGCTGGTGGAGGCAGCAACGCGCCTGCCAGTGGAAGTGGGCACGAACCCAGTAGCGGATTCTTGAGACGTCTCAAAAGTCGCCTGCGAGTGGCAGTGGGCACGGACCCAGCAGCGGACCTGGGATCGGTGATGTCGAGGGATGCCAAGGCACGCATCCACGCATCCCCTTACCTCACCACCTCTGCCTCCATGTTTCCATCCCTTCCTCCCGTACCTCCCCCTTTTTCTTTCTCCCCTCTCCTCTTCTGCCTCCCCATCCCCCCTCTTTTCTCCCCTCCGCCCCCTGTCCTTCCTTCTCCCCCTCCCCCCGCTTCTCCTTGCGCCAGGGAGCCACTGCTGGTGGAGGCAGCGACGCGGCTGCGAGTGGCAGTGGGCACGGATCCTGCAGCAGACCTGGGCCCGGTGATCTCCAAGGACGCCAAGGCACGCATTCACTCCCTCGTGGACAGTGGCGTTGCTGATGGCGCCCGCCTGTTGCTGGACGGCCGCAACGTGCAGGTGAGAAAGAGGGGAGGGGGGGGGTTGGGTGGGGGGGAGGTGGGAGGGGGAATGGGTGGAGAGAGGTGGAGAAACAAAACGGTATGGGGGAAAGGGCAGCGGGGTTACGGGAGCACGAATGTGGCTGATTGTGCCCGCCTGCTGCTGGAGAGCCGCAACGTGCAGGTGAGGGGTGGGAGGGGACGGGGAGACGGGAAAGAGAATTGCTGCAGTTTGCCGTTTCTTGCTCGTTAACATGCGGTTTCTTGCTCGTTAACATGCGGTTTCTTACTCTCTCATCCCATCTTGCAGTTTCTGTTGAACCGTGCTTCTTCTCACTCAGTATCCTTCCCACATAGATTATTTCTTCCTGCCTTCCCCACTCCCCTCGCCTTATCTTTCTCCCCTCCCCTCCCCTCCCCTCCCCTCCCCTCCCCTCCCCTCCCCTCCCCTCCTCTCTCCTTCGCTCCTGCCCGCCTGCCCTCCTGCCCTCCTCCCCTTTTTGCTCAGGTGCCTGGATTTGAGAGCGGCAACTTTGTCGGTCCGACCATTCTCGCAGACGTGAGGGAGGGAATGGAGTGCCACCGGGAGGAGATATTCGGCCCCGTGCTGCTGCTCATGTCTGCTGAGTCGCTCGATGATGCCATTGCTCTCCCATCCTTCCCATCCTCCTTCCCCACTGCCTCCCTTTGTTCTCCCCTCCCCCCCTTTCCCCTCCTCCCGCTCCTCTCTTCTCCTGCCCTCCTCCCCTCCCATCCCTTCCCCCTTCTTGCACCATCTGCCAGGTGCCTGGATTCGAGAGCGGCAACTTTGTAGGCCCCACCATTCTCGCAGACGTGAGGGAGGGAATGGAGTGCTACAGGGAGGAGATATTCGGCCCCGTGCTGCTGCTCATGAGCGCCGACTCGCTTGATGACGCCATTGCTCTCGTCAACCGCAACCCCTACGGCAATGGCACTGCGATTTTCACGTCATCTGGCGCCGCTGCCAGGAAGTTTCAGAATGAGATTGATGTCGGGCAGGTGAGGAAAAGGGGAGGGAGGGGAGAGAGGGAAGATGTGGGAGCAGGGGGGGGCGGGGAAGAATGGTGGAGGGAGAAGGGAAAGGGGGGGAAGCCGGTTGGTTGACAGAAGGGATGGAGAATGGCAAGTTGTGAAGCGGTTTGGGGAGTGGAGGGGATGGTGATAAACTAGTGTCATACTGGTACATGTGTCCCCCACCCCACCCATGCCATTTGCTCCATACCCGCCCACCTCCAGCCCCCATCCCTCATTCTCATTTGCATTCCCCTACTGCCGTACCCGTGTGTTGTCTGCACCCACAGGTGGGCATCAACCTGCCCATCCCAGTGCCGCTGCCTTTCTTCTCCTTCACCGGCTCGCGGGCCAGCTTTGCCGGGGACCTCAATTTCTATGGCAAGGCGGGCGTGCAGTTTTACACGTACACCAAGACTGTTACCGCGGCGTGGAAACAGCCGAGTGGGGCCGAGTCTAAAGTGGCCATGGCTTTCCCAACATCGCAGAAAGTTTAGAGGGGACGCGGCGACGATGTGATCGCATGGCCTGTTCTGTTCCCTTCATGTGCATATCTTGTTCTAGCTGTTGTTTCTGTTTCTTAGGGCGCATCACCTCGGGGCTGGAAGGCCCAAATCCGAACATACGTAACGAATTCACTGTACGAACAGTTTCCCGACGAGATCCGAACACAAATTTGAACACCCTGGTGAATGTGACAGCTCGTGACTAGAGGTGACAGCCTATTCGAACATGCGACGTCGCCAAGTGTTGGACGACTTCGCGAAACGTCGCAAGAAAATAATTCAGTCGTCTGCCATTCAAGTTTGACTCATTTTTCGCCCATCCAGTCAAAATGTCTCTTCGTGCTCTTCTACTACTGCTCACCTTGTTGTTTCCCAACAACAATGTCCTTTTCGATGAACTTTCTCCTGCATGGCGACATTTGCAATGGTCGCAAACATTCGTGTGCGACCCGAAGCCTGCTAACCAAACAAATCAGTCGTCCATGCGGAATCCCTGTCACCAAACCCAACTTTGTTCGAACAACTCTGTTCGAATGTGCGGAATGGAGAGCTTCGTGCCCTGTGTGACAGCTCTGTTCAGATTCGCGAAATTTCCGACTAGCGACATCACGAACACCCATACGAGGAGTGGCGAAGCCCGTCGGCACGTGGAGTTCGCGGCGACAAGTGGCGAACAGGCCATCATGGCACCAATGCCACTCAAGCCGCAACGCCCGCCCTGCTTCGACCCGAGCCAGCGTGGAGGTCCGACGGTTCAATCGTGGGTCTTCACGATGAACGTCTTCTTCGACGCGAATTACGTCGAGTCGGACGCAGCGAAGATTCGGTATGCAGTTTCGCTGCTAAGGGGCCCCGCCATGGACTGGTGGCGAGTCATCGTGACGTCGCCACGCGCCTACGAGCCACCGTCGCAAGAGGAAGGGCCCACGGGTCCAGCTGTCACCTGGAGTTCATTCTGCGAGACCGCCCAATACAGCACGTGGGATGCGTGGTGCGCAGGGCTTCGGGCGCGCTTCGAGCCGGTCGCGGCTTCTATTTCGGCGCGTCAGAGATTGCGCACTTGGCGGCAGCTCGGATCGGTTCAAGACTATACGAGTGGTTTTCTCGCATTATGCGAGCAAGTCGGCTACATGCACGAAGCGGAGCGGGTGGACCGTTACGTCGGAGGGCTGAAGCCGGACATCTCGCACGAAATCATGCTACGCGGGCTCTCGAACTTCAACGAGATTCTCGCGCTCGCCGAGAAAATCGACATTTTACGCCGTCCGAGACCGGGGTCCTACTATGGACATCGTCCTCGGGGACCGATCGAGCACGCCACTGTACACGCTGTTGCGACGAATGCAGCTGCCGCGCCGTATAAGGGGCGCTGCTTTGCTTGCAACAGGCCGGGCCATCGCAAGAGCGAATGCCCAGAGGAGCTAAGGCGCCGCGGAGCAGAGCAGGGGAGGGAGTCTCCAAGGCAGGGAAACGCCAGCAGTCAGTAGGAACCGGGCCAACTACTGACGAGACTGCCTGCTCGCCCAACCCCACCGACCCTCACCGAGTCACAGTACCGATTCATGCTATCGATCGGACTCGGACGAATAAGGAGGGTACAGCGACGGATTGCCCAGTACTGATCCACGAGAAAATACAGGGAGCAGCAATGAAGATTTTTATCGACGGAGGAGCAAGCCACAGTTTAGTTAATACCGCAACCGCACGAAAACTGCAGCTGACACTTAGCCGTTGCTTACCGGAGATAGACGCACGCTTAGTCGACGGCACGCCACTGGCCATACGGGAAAAGGTAGAGAGAGTCAAAGTCCGCTGCGGGGGAAATTTCGGGTTTACACAGGAAATGCTCGCAACGACACTGGATGGGCACGATATTTTACTGGGACGTGATTGGCTGCGACGATATAACCCGCGAATTGACTGGACGACGGGTAGCTGCACCGTGCGAAGTAGTGGTAACTGGGTCGAGCTACCTCGCTGGCAGTCACCCGAGTCTTCAACGGTACACGTCAACGCCATCACAATGAAACGGGCTGTCGCTGCTGGAGCTGACGTGTACGCAGTAGACATCGCAGTAGTAGAGGAAGCAGAGCAGCCGAGTGATTTCAAGAAACTGCTGGCAGCCGTACCGCCCGAATTACAGGAACTGTTGAAACGATACCCCGGGATTTTCCCCGACGACTTACCGGAAGGACTGCCACCTCAGCGAGCACATGACCACCGAATCGAATTAGAACCGGGGGCACAGCCAAGCGTACAGCGCCAGTTCAGACTGACACAGCCCGAGCTCGACGAACTAAGGAAGCAGTTAGATTACCTGTTAGAGAAAAAATTCATCAGACCGAGCTCGTCACCGTTCGCCGCGCCGATACTATTCACGCCGAAAAAAGACGGGGGTTTTCGCATGTGTATCGACTACAGAGCACTGAACAGGGTAACAGTCAAGTCGCGGTACCCAATTCCCCGCGCCGACGAACTGATCGACCAACTGCGAACAGCACGGGTTTTTTCGAAAATAGATTTACGGGGAGGTTACCATCAGATTAGGGTCGAACCATCGGACTGCGCCAAAACAGCTTTCAGGACTAGGTACGGGTCGTTCGAGTACACTGTGATGCCATTCGGGCTGACCAACGCACCGGCGACTTTTCAGATAACCATGAACGAGGCATTTAGGCCGCTCTTAGATAAATGTGTAATAGTTTACCTCGACGACATCCTAGTGTACAGTCGGGATAAGCAGCAGCACTTAGCAGATCTGGAAGCAGTGTTTAAGGTTTTAGACGAGCACAGATTACTGACCAAGGGTTCCAAGTGCGAGTTCTTCCAGGATAGGTTAGAATTTTTGGGGCACGTTATTTCGGAGGCTGGAGTTGAAATCGACCCAAAGAAGCTGGATAAGGTAAAAGCGTGGCATCCCCCGACAAACATCACGGAGCTGCAGAGCTTTTTAGGGTTCGTTAATTATGTACGTCGGTTCGTCCCCGATATGGCACGGTTAACTGCCCCACTGACGGACTTACTGCGGAAGGGGGTCGCTTTTACGTGGGGGGAGAAAGAGCATGCTGCCTTCTCTGCCCTGAAAAATGTTCTCTGTTCCCCGCCCGTCCTGCGCATCGCCGACCCACACCGCCCATTCGAAGTAGTAACCGATGCAAGCGATATCGCCATCGGAGCCGTACTGCTACAGGATTTCGGCAATGGCCTACAGCCTATCGCATACGAGTCACGAAAACTGCATCCGCCCGAGAAAAATTACCCGATACACGACCGCGAAATGCTTGCGATCGTGCACGCGTTCAAAGTATGGCGCTGTTACTTGACTGGCGCGGACGTGACAGTACGGACAGACCATAAATCACTACAGTACCTTCGCGCACAGCCACACCTCAACCCACGACAGATTCGCTGGCTCGATTTCCTCGAGTCCAATTTTCACTATACGGTCACTTACAAAAAGGGAGCCTCGAACATCGCCGACGCACTGACCCGCCCCACTGCCCAGATCCACGCAATACTACTCGCCCAGACAAGCCCGCTACTGACAGGCCTATTCACCCACGGGTACCAGACGGATCCATTCTTCACAGGAGGAAATTCGCAGCAGTTCGCAGCAGCAAAGGGAGTCTATTACGTAAAAACCGGGACTGACCGCATTTGGGTACCTGGGTATACACTACTACGGGAATTAGGGCGTATCCAGGTTCGGGTCATGAGCACTGTTCCGGGCATGCGCGATTTGCGGATGACCCAAACAACATAGAACGCATGTTTGGGTCATGCGACCCCCATATTGCCGCGAGGGTTTTCGCGCCAAAATCCAGCTCACAACAACAGTCGCATCCAATGGTGGGATGCCCGAACATTTCGAAAGGTCATTAGCAAGACCCACGCAAAACCATGTGACACTCGCTGAGAAATCACAACCCCCAAAATCCCCTGAGCGAATTCCCAAATGTTGGGAGCGCGACGCGAGAAATTTTAGACACACTCGGGGTCAATTTGTCGAGTGGTTGGGTGCAGAGGTGTCAGACGTGGGAAATTGCCCACGTGTGACACTCGACTGCCGATCGACAAAAAGTTGGCAGTAACACCACAATCGTGCAACCAGGTGATTGGCTGTGGGTGGGTCGTGCACGTCAGTCGCACAACACCTACACATTGACCCAAAGCTGGGGCCGCGCGCGGCTCCGCAGCCCACTTCGGGTCATGCGCAAATTCCGCATGACCCAAACAGTAGCCAGAACAGTGCTCATGACCCGAACCTGGATACGCCCTTACTATTACAGGAGGCACACGACGGAGTTACTTCGGGGCATTTTGGAGTAGAAAAAACACGGCAGCAGCTGCAGCGGTATTATTACTGGCCCGAAATGTTGACCGACGTACAACGACACGTGGCATCGTGTCCCACTTGTCAGCTCATGAAATCATCACGACAGCGGCCGGCGGGACAGTTGCAGCCGATACCACCCCCAGAGCGTGCTTGGCAGCAGGTGACGATGGACTTCGTCACGGGGTTACCAGCCGGGGCGAGTGGGAACGACGCGATCCTGGTCGTCGTCGATCGGCTAACGAAAATGGCACATTTCGCAGCATGCAAAAAATCGATCATAGCCGAAGAAACAGCACGCCTCTTCATCTCCACCGTCGTTCGACTGCACGGGATACCCGCCGCGATCATCAGCGACCGCGACACAAAATTCACCAGCAACTTCTGGCGGAACCTGTGGCAGCAGTTCGGCACGCGACTGCAGTTCAGTTCATCATACCACCCCGAAACCGACGGACAGACAGAACGGACAAATCAGACCATGGAACAGCTCATCAGGGCCACGTGTGACGACCCGACCACGTGGGAACAGCAACTGCCACTAATCGAATTCGCGTACAACAACTCGCCATCCGCCACGACCCAACAGTCACCATTTTACCTAAACTACGGACAAGACCCAACAGTACCCATGACCCCGAATCCCGACAACCCAGTACCACGAGCACAACAGTTCGCCGAAATATTACAAGCAGCACGGACCCGGGCAGTAGACGCAATAAAAAAATCGAACATCATCGCTAAACGCAACGCCGACCGCCACCGCAGACCTGTCACTTACCAGCCCGATGACTTAGTTTTACTTGACACTCAGAACCTCCGACTGCCCATCACTCCGAAACTCCGCCCCCGATACTGCGGGCCATTTCGCATAAGCCACATGCTTACACCCGTCACCGCCCACCTCCTCCTCCCTGCTGACTGGTACGTCAGCCCCTCATTCCACGTCAGCCTACTTCGCCCTTACGTCCCGTCCACGAGCCAACTGCCACGCAATCGCCCAACCAGCATGACAAGACCACCAACTGAACCAATCATCACCCCCGAAAAAATCCTGAGTCACAGAGTTCGCGACCCTCGAGGAGCCCGAAGGATCGAGTTCTTACTCCGCTGGAAGGACCGTACACCCACCGAAGACAATTGGGTTCCCCTGGACAGAATCGAAAACCACCCCGTCTTCACCGAGTATCTGCGCAGCCGAAATTTCAGGGATGTACACGCACTCTCGTAAGGAGGACCTCCTTAAGGGGGGGGGTAGTGTAAGGAAAATTCCTTTTCCTTACTTCGCATCCCTGCTCAACGCGTACATCACTGTAGCACCACAGTCAGCACCGTTACCACTCGCAACCCTCGCATCGACAATCTGCCCGCCACCTTCGCAAATCGCACCCCGACCTCACGGCTCGGCGGGTAACCCGCGCTCCGGGCCTCCGCTTCGACACTTTTTCCCAACCTCAGTCCCAGGCCCGTCGCGCGACAACCACAGTCCATTACCGTTACCACTGTAGTTTCGCTATATATTCTTCGCTCATGCCTTCGCTCATTGTACTCTTGCTTCGATAGTGCAATTCTAGTTCGTTCACTCAATTGCACTCGTAACAAAATGTAGCAAATATTTTTCTCTTGCCCTTCGTGTCGCAAATGTCGCAGCTTGTCGTTCCCTCGCGAAGGGGCCACATTCCAAATTCTCATCAGCACTGTCCCCCAAACCCCAGCCGGTTTACCCTCCCTCTCAACTTTCCAGTCTCATCTCTTTCGCCCATCCCCATAAATCACCGCCTGTCCCCTTCCTTCTCGTTTGTTTCTTGAACCCAGTCCCTTCTCAATAACTCGAGCATCTCGTGACCCAATCAAAGACCCGTGTTTTCGACCACTAGACGCACATTTGAGGCGGCTCAGAAAGTAATTACTCTTTGCGACCTTGCGACTCGTGTCCCTCGTTCTTGTCATCCTCGCGTTCTCCTTCAAATCTCGCGATACTGACGCGCCGGCCGAAATGCCAGCGGCAGTCACGCCCGCGCGGCGTCAAAGCGGGTCGCCCGCGCGCGGAAAAGGCGGCGGTGGAAGCGGCGGTAAAGGCCTAGGAGTGTCCCCCAAGACAGGGAATACCCCTCGGGGGGGTAAAGGAGGCGCGGGTCGGGGTGCACGAGGAGGGGCAAAGGCGGGAACGGCCGGAGCGCAGAAGAGCGGAGATTCTGGCAAGAAGGCGCCGAAAAGAATGTCGAAATTGGAGCAGGAAGAGGAAGAAGAGGCGGAGGCGGCGATGGAGGAGGACATCGAAGAGAAATTGGAACTCGAGGGTTTTGGCAAGGGGAAGGTTTTGGCCCTAGCGGACGAGGAGGAGGAAGAGGAAGAAGGGGAGGAGGAAGATGATGACGAGGAGGAGGACGAGGCGGATGAGAAGGACAATGTTAAAGCGGCGGGCGGCGGGAAGGAGAGGGCGTTCAGCGACGAGAATCAGTCGTGGTTGAAAGTGAAGAAGAACTTGCTCGACGATGATGACGACGACGAGGAAGATGATGACGATGCTATGCCTGATGACTTCGAAGGTGGGGAATGGTGTGCGTTCGGTAGCAACGCATTCGCCTGTGCCTTCGTGTTTCGCGCCTGTCCACTTCTCTGTCACGAGCTGAGCTACTGCTGCAATGGTTTTACGCCGTTTTGAGGCTCCTCAAAATTCGATGTTGCGCCGTTTCTGCAGGTTGCTTTCTGTTGCCTTTTGTTTTAGGAATCATCGAATGTAGAATCTGCTTGCTTTTCCCACGCTCATCTTCAGGTGGCGAGGACGACGACGAGGGAATGGACGAGGAGGGAGAAGAGGACGAAGACGACGAGGAGGAGGAAGAGGAGGAGGAGACGGCGTTTGAGCGCAAGGCGCGGAAGCTCGAAGCGCGGAGAGCGCAGGAGGCGGAGGACGCGGAGGCGGAGCTGCAGCTGAACATACAGGACGGGGAGGACGTGGGGATGCTGCTGCCCACCGACGAGGTGCGCGCTGTTGGGGGGTGTTGGTGGACTGTTTTGGGGTGTTTGCGGGCTGCTTCCGGGGGTTTTGCGGGGGGTGTTGGCGGGGGGCGGTGGGGGATGGGTAATAGACGGGGAGGGTGGAGTGATATGGTGGGACAGATAATAGATGCCTCGTTTCGTCGCCTCTCCGTCTTACTTCTCCTCTCCTTGCTGGAACAGACCTGTCCCCTCGTGTCCCTTGCTGCGCTTTCTCCTATCGGCCCAACCTCGATGTCTCACACCCATTGTCTCAATCCTGTTCTCCCTCGCCCTCTTCTTGTCCTGTCGGCGTCCCCGTGGAGCAGGAGAGGGAGGCGGAAGCAGCAGCACCGCCAGACCTATCGGTCATTCAGAAGCGGATCAATGACAGTAAGCCGGCTTTTCCCACTGCAATCCGCTTGAACTGCCTACTGCATGTATGTTCCTGTCGCTGTCTCCCTGCATGCCGTCTTCCCGTCGCGTCGTCTGTTCCCGCCGTTTGGTCACCTATCTCCGCACGGTGCCTTGATTCGGGGTTTAAGCAAAAGCTTGAACATCGTCGTGCCTTCACATTCTATTACCAGCTTCAGGACTCGTTTGTAAGACTAGTTGTGTCTTAATTCTCTTGTCGTGCTGTGTGCCAGCCTTTCGAGACGTCTCAAAAGTTGTCGTACTGTGTGTCAGCCACGTGATGCCACCCTTTTGGCCGAAAGAGGCACTCTCGCTGCCTCTCATGCCGGCCCTACTCATGTCATAGTTACTCTGATGGCTGCCCGCACTCACTCCCTCTTTCGTGTCAAAGTTAGGACATATAGTGGAGGAAGAGAAGGACAATGATGGCTATAACCCTTTGTTTCTATCGGGCGCCTCTTATACTCCACCTGATCCCCTTCTCTACCCTCTCTCCTACCCTCCCCGTATCCCCTGATCGGATTCCCTCCGCTAAACGCCCACCTCCCCCGCGTCTCCCTCCCCCTCCCCTTCCTTCCCTCCCCCTCCCCCTCCTCCTCCCCCTCCCCCCGCCCCCTCCCGCGCCCCCGCCAGTCGTGCGCGTGCTGGGCAATTTCTCCAAGCTGCGCGCGGAGACGGTGCCGCGCGCGGCGTACGTGCGGCAGCTGGCGGCGGACCTGGCGCTCTTCTACGGCTACAACGACTTCCTCATGGACGCGCTCATGCAGGTTGGTGGGCTTCAACCTATGGGGCAGCATTCTGGGTTTAAGTGAAGCTCGTGCGGCTGGGGTTTAAGCTTAAGCTGTTGATGTGGATAAATAGCTGGTTCTGGGGCTTCTGGTGGTCTTTTCACCAGAAGGTCTGGTTCTCGGCTTCTGTGTCTGGTAGTTTCACGAATGCGTGGGGATTATGCGTTATTTTGGGGTTTGGGGAATGTTGACTCTCGGGGTTCGGGTTTTAGACAGGCTACTTTCTTCGCGCATAGGTCCAGCTCCCTCTCCCTCGCCCCGTTCCTATCCCCTATGCCCCTCCTGTCCCCCCCGCCTATCCTCTCTTCTCCCCCTCCTTCCCCGCTCCTTTCTCCCCCGCCCAGATGTTCCCAGTGGCGGAGGTGATGGAGTTTCTGGAGGCGCAGCTTCCCTTCTCCATCCCTCACTCTCAATTCCTTCACTCTCCCATCTCTCCCCAATTCTCCCCTTTTCTCCCCTTTTCTCCCATCTTCTCCCCTCTTCTCCCCTCTTCTCCCCTCTTCTCCCCTCTCCCCCCCCCCCCACAGATGTTCCCAGTGGCGGAGGTGATGGAGTTTCTGGAGGCGAGTGAGAAGCCGCGCCCGGTGACCATCCGAACCAACACCATCAAGGCGCGCCGCAGGGAGCTCGCTGCTGCGCTCATCAACCGCGGCGTCAACCTCGACCCGCTCGGGCCCTGGAGCAAGGTCAGTCCTCCCTCTGCCCTCCGCCCTCTCCCCCGATTGTTGAGCTGTTGAGCGCGGGTTTTGGCCATACGCCCCCCGCGGTGTCAACCTAGACCCGCTCGGGCCCTGGAGCATGGTAAGTCCTGCGTATGCGCAACGTGGATGCTAAACATACCCGCCCTCCCTCCCCACGCCTTCCCCGGCTTACCCCGTTCCTCACACCCTGCCTCCCTCTCCTTGTCCCGTTTTCTTTTCGTTTATTAGAAAGGGTTGTTTTTTTTTTTTTTTTTTTTTTTTTCCCTTTCCGATTGTCTTTCCATCTCTCTTCCGCTCTCCCCTGGTTATCCCCGTCGGGGTTTGGGTTTCCTGATTGGAGGTCTAGGTTCTTGCAATCTCGTTTCGTCGCTGTCTCTCCCTTTTCACCTCCTATTGCCCACTCTCCTCCGCGCACACACACACCCTCTCCCCCCGTGTTCACCTCTCACCTCTCTTCACTTCTCTTTTCCCCTCTCGTCCCGTCGTCCCCGTCCCAGGTGGGCCTGGTGGTGTACGAATCGCAAGTGCCGGTGGGAGCAACACCCGAGTACATGGCAGGGCACTACATGGTATGCCGTGGTGCTGTGCAGTGCGGTGCGGTTCTCTTCTGTGCTGTTCTGTGTGGTGCTGTGGCCTAAGGCGTGCGTGTGCTCGCTTTGCAGCCTCTGTTCGTCGTCCATCGCTGCTCGTCTGTAGTGCATTCCGTCCGCTGATGACACCAGCTCGTGTCTTGTAAATTTTGTCTTGTATCATTGCCATCTCTCCTTCCGTCCTCCCTCACTCCTCTCTCACTCCACCCTCACTCCTCTTTCTCGCTCCTCTCTCCCCCGCTCCCCGCCGTCCCCCCATCAGCTGCAGAGCGCGGCGTCGTTCCTGCCAGTCATGGCGCTCGCACCACAAGAGAAAGATGTGGTCGTCGACGTCGCGTGAGTTGCCGCTCCCGCCTCTCTCTCTTACCCCCTGCCCCTGCTCTCTCTGTTTTGATAAGTCTCAAAACGTGCTCGCACCACAAGAGAAAGATGTGGTCGTCGACGTCGCGTGAGTTGCCCTTCCTGCTTCTCTCTCTCAGAAGCAGAGAGATGTGGTCTCTCTTGCCCCCTGCCCCTGCTCCCTCTCTCGCGCTCTGCCCCCTCTCGTCCCTTGCCCGTTCCTTGTCTCGATGAAAATAGAGGAGCGGAGAGGATAGGAAGGCTCTTGTGCGTATGTACGTCTGTGCCGACCAAATGATGATACCTGGTCATCAAAAGTGTTTCAAGACGGATCTGACATCTTTGTGATGGACAATGCACCTAATCCGATGGCCGCGCATATCTCTCTCACATGATATGTATGAGCACGCACGTCTATGACCTTGCCGCATGCATGCATGCCGTCATGCATGCACGCATGCATGCCGTCATGCATTCCCGCTTCCTCTCTTTCCTCCTGTCCGCGTCCCTCTCCTCCTCCTCCTGTCTGTGCTATCATCATTCGTGCGTCCCATTCTATCCTTCTGCGCTATTTATCACTCTCAAACGAGCACCAGAATCAGCTTTTTATTCTCTCCCATCCCGTCCCGCGTAGAATAAAAAGCTTTTTATTCTATCCATGTTAGAAGCTCACACATCCCGCCTACCCCAAAATAGCGCCATGATGCACATTTATGGCAGTGGGGAGTGGGTTTTGAGCCGTCTCAAAACTCGTTACCTGCATGACGGATGGAGAGAGGAAGGTATGTGTTTGTTTCTGTGTGTGTGCGTGTGTGCGTGCGTGTGTCTAGCCGGCCAAATGATGATATCTGGTCATCAAAAGTGTTTCAAGACGGATCTGACATCTTTATGATGGACAATGCACCTAATCCGATGGCCGCATGTCGATTTCTGATCATAAGCAGCACTATCCAGCTGCCGTTCCATCATTCTACCGTATCATGGGTTTTATCCATGCATGAGTAGAAGAGGAGAGGAGAGGAGAGGAGAGGAGCCTATTGTGTGTATGTTTGTCGGCCACATGATGATATCTGGTCATCAAAAGTGTTTCAAGACGGATCTGACATCTTTATGATGGACAACACACCTAATCTGATGGCCTTGTCTCCTCTTGCCCTCGTCTTTATGTAAAACTAGCCAAGAAAGAAACTGTACATGCACATGCACATGCCATGTATGTACCCCAGTATAGCGCGTGCATCAGGCATGCATGGAGTCAGGTCAGAGGAGGAGAGGAGAGAGGAGAGGATTGAGGAGAGGAGAGAGCTGGAGGATATGAAAGTGTATGTGCCGGCCAAATGATGATATCTGGTCATTAAAAGTGTTTCAAGACGGATCTGATCCTAGTGATGGACAATGCACCTAATCCGATGGCCCATGCACGTTCCCTTGCCTACTTTCACTCTCTCACACACACTTCGCCCACCCTCCACAACAGTTCTTGTTAAACCTCAGAATCCTTCTCCGCTCCCCCATCCTGTTCCGCCCCATCCCTATCCCTCCCTCTTCCCCCACACCCGTCTTTCCCTTCTCCCCCATCCCCACCCCACCTTTTGCCTGCTCAATTTCAGGGCTGCTCCGGGTGGCAAGACGACGTATGTGGCTGCGTTGATGCGAAACACAGGTGAGCCCATGGGTGGATTGGCTTGGCGTGCCTGTGCTTGGCTTGGCTTGTGTGTGTGAGCGTTGTGGTGGGGCTCTGGTGCGTGTGTGTATGCATGAGTGTGTTGCATGATTTTCTAGATTTTCTATACACGCACATGAGCACACACACACACGGTCCCCTCCCCATGCCTGCATGCCCTCATTCCCTGGTGCCCCATGAACCCCCAATGAACCCATGCCCCCCCCCCTTTCGCCGCCATCCACCCAACCTTCACCAAATGGCAGGCATGGTGTTTGCCAACGAGTTGAAGCAGCCGTTTGCCCGCCTGCTATCCCCCCATGCGCCCATGTTCCTCCCTCCCCCTTCCCCCCACGGGCAGGCATGGTGTTTGCGAACGAGTTGAAGCAGCCGCGGCTCAAGTCACTGATCGCCAACATCCATCGCATGGGCGTCACCAACACCACCGTCTGCTCTTACGACGGTCGCCAC